TAAAACCTACAAACAAGATTACTCTACCCAGCAAGGATCTCATTCAGATTCGACAGAGAAATTAAAACACTTACAGACAAGCAAAGGTTAAGAGAATTCAGCACCACCAAACCAGCTGTACAACAAATGCTAAAGGAACTCCTTTAGGCAGGAAACACAAGAGAAGGAAAAGACCTACAATAACAAATCCAAAACAATTAAGAAAATGGGAATAGGAACATACATATTGGTGATTACCTTAAATGTAAATGGACTAAATGCTCCCACCAAAAGACATAGACTGGATAAATTGATAAAAACAATACCCATATATATGCTGTCTACAAGAGACCCACTTCAGACCTAGGGAAACATACAGACTGAAAGTGAGGGGATGGAAAAAGATATTCCATGCAAATAGAAATCAAAAGAAAGCTGGTGGGCTTCCCTAGTGGTGCAGTGGTTGAGAATCTGACTGGCAATGCGGGTGACACGGGTTCGAGCCCTGGTCTGGGAAGATCCCACATGCCACGGAGCAACTAGGCCTGTGAGCCACAACTACTGAGCCTGCACATCTGGAGCCTGCGCTCCGCAACAAGAAAGGCTGCGATAGTGAGAGGCCTGTGCACCACGATGAAGAGTGGCCCCCGCTTGCTGCAACTAGAGAAAGTCCTCGCACAGAAATGAAGACCCAACACAGCCAAAAATAAATAAATAAATAAATAAATAAATAAAAATGTCTCCAGATATTAAAAAAAAAAAGAAAGCTGGAGTAGCAATTCTCATATCAGACAAAATAGACTTTAAAATAAAGACTATTATAGGAGACAAAGAAAGACACTACATAATGATCAAGGGAACAATCCAAGAAGAAGATATAACAATTGTAAATATTTATGTACCCAGCAATGGCACACCTCAATACATAAGGCAAATGCTAACAGCCATAAAAGGGGAAATCGAGAGTAACACAGTTATAATAGGGGACTTTAACACCCCACTTTCAACAATGGTCAGATCACCCAAAATGAAAATAAACAAGGAAACACAAGCTTTAAATGATACACTAAACAAGATGTACTTAATTGATATTTATAGGCCATTCCATCCAAAAACAAGATAATACACTTTCTTCTCAAGTGCTCATGGAACATTCTTCTGGATAAATCATATCTTGGGTCACAAATCAAGCCTTGGTAAATTTAAGAAAACTGAAATCGTATCAAGTATCTTTTCTGACCACAATGCTATAAGACTAGATATCAATTACAGGAAACATCTGTAAAAAATACAAATACAGGGAGGTTAAACAATACACTACTTAATAACCAAGAGATCACTGAAGAAATTAAAGATGAAATAAAAAAAATACCTAGAAACAAATGACAATGAAAACACAACAACCCAAAACCTATGGGATGCAGCAAAAGCAGTTCTAAGAGGGAAGTTTATAGCAATACAATCCTACCTCAAGAAACAAGAAACATCTCAAATAAACAACCAAACCTTACACCTAAAGCAATTAGAGAAAGAAGAACAAAAAAACCCCAAAGTTAGCAGAAGGAAAAAAATCATAAAAATCAGATCAGAAATAAATGAAGGAAACAATAGCAAAGAGCAATAAAACTAAAAGCTGGTTCTTTGAGAAGATAAACAAAATTGATAAACCACTGGCCAGACTCATTAAGAAAAAAAGGGAGAAGACTCAAATCAATAGAATTAGAAATGAAAAAGGAGAAGTAACAACTGACACTGCAGAAATACAAAGGATCATGAGTGATTACTACAAGCAACTATATACCAAAAAACTGGACAACCTGGAAGAAATGGACAAATTCTTAGAATAGCACAACCTTATGAGATGGAACCAGGAAGAAATAGGAAATATAAACAGACCAATCACAAGCACTGAAATGGAGACTATGATTAAAAATCTTCAAAAAAACAAAAGCCCAGGACCAGATGGCTTCACAGGTGCATTCTATCAAACATTTTTTAAACACCTTTATTGGAGTATAATTGTTTTACAATGATGTGTTAGTTTCTGCTTTATAACAAAGTGAATCAGCTATATATATATATATATATATATCTCCCCATATCTCCTCCTTCTTGCATCTCCGTCCTACCCTCCCTATCCCATCCCTCTAAGCAGTCATAAAGCACTGAGCTGATCTCACTATGCTATGTCGCTGATTCCCACTAGCTATCTATTTTACATTTGGTAGTATATATAAGTCCATGCCACTCTCTCACTTTGTCCCAATTTAACCTTCCCCCTCTCTGTGTTCTCAAGTCCATTCTCTACGTCTGCATCTTTTTTCCTGTCCTGCCACTAGTTTCTTCAGAACCTTTTTCTTTTTTTTGAGATTCCATATATATGTGTTAGCATACGGCATTTGTTTTTCTCTTTCTGACTTATTTCACTCTGTATGACAGACTCTAGGTCCATGAACCTCATTACAAATAGTTCAATTTCGTTTCTTTTTTTTTTTTCTACTTAAAAATGTTTGTTTTTGTTTTGTTTTGTTGTCTTTTTTTGTTTTTGTTTTGTGGTACGCAGATCTCTCACTGTTGTGGCCTCTCCCGCTGCAGAGCACAGGCTCCAGACGCACAGGCCCAGCAGCCACGGCTCACGGGCCCAGCCACTCCACAACACGTGGGATCCTCCCAGACCGGGGCATGAACCCGCGTCCCCTGCATTGGCAGGCGGACCCCCAACCACTGCGCCACCAGGGAAGCCCCAATTTCGTTTCTTTTTATGGCTGAGTAATATTCCATTGTATATATATGCCACATCTTCTTTATCCATTCATCTGTTGATGGACACTTAGGTTGCTTCCATGTCCTGGCTATTGTAAAGAGAGCTGCAATGAACATTGTGGTATGACTCTTTTTGAATTCTGGTTTTCTCAGGGTACATGCCCAGTAGTGGGATTGCTGGGTGGTATGGTAGTTCTATTTTTAGTTTTTTAAGGAACCTCCATACTGTTCTCCAGAGTGGTTGTATCAATTTACATTCCCACCAACAGCACAAGAGTGTTCCCTTTTCTCCACACCCTCTCCAGCACTTATTCATTGTAGATTATTTGATGATGGTCATTCTGACTGGTGTGAGGTGATACCTCATTGTAGTTTTGATTTGCATTTCTCTAATGATTAGTGATGTTGAGCATCCTTTCATGGGTTTGTTGGTAATCTGTATATGTTCTTTGGAGAAATGTCTATTTAGGTCTTCTGCCCATTTTTGGATTGGGCTGTTTGTTCTTTTGATACTGAGCTGCATGAGCTGCTTGTAACTTTGGGCGATTAATCCTTTGTCAGCTGCTTCATTTGCAAATATTTTCTCCCATTCTGAGGGTTGTCTTTTCATCTTATTTATGGTTTCTTTTGCTGTGCAAAAGCTTTTAAGTTTTATTAGGTCCCATTTGTTTATTTTTGCTTTTATTTCCATTTCTCTAGGAGGTGGGTGAAAAAGGATCATGCTGTGATTTATGTCATAGAATGCTCTGCCTATGTTTTCCTCTAAGAGTTTTATAGTGTCTGGCCTTACATTTAGGTCTTTAATCCGTTTTGGGTTTATTATTTTGTATGGTGTTAGGGAGTGTTCTAATTTCATTCTTTTATATGTGACTGTCCAGTTTTCCCAGCAACACTTATTGAAGAGGCTCTCTTTTCTCCACTGTATATTCTTGCCTCCTTTATCAAAGATAAGGTGACTATATGTGTGTGGTTTTATCTCTGGGCTTTCTATCCTGTTCCATTGATCTATATTTCTGTTTTTGTGCCACTGTCTTGATTACTGTAGCTTTGTAGTATGGTTTGAAGTTGGGGGTCTGATTCCTTCAGCTCCATTTTTGTTTGTCAAGATAGCTTTTGCTCTTCAGGGCCTTTTGTGTTTCCATACAAATTGCGAAATTTTTTGTTCTTGTTCTGTGAAAAATGCCATTGGTACTTTGATAGGTATTGCATTGAATCTCTAGATTGCTTTGGGTAGTATAGTCATTTTCACAGTGTTGATTTTTCCAATCCAAGAACATGGTATATCTGTCCATCTGTTTGTATCATCTTTAATTTCTTTCATCAGTGTCTTATAGTTTTCTGTGACAGGTCTTTTGTCTCCTTAGGTAGGATTATTCCTAGGTATTTTATTTTTTTTGTTGCAGTGGTAAATGAGAGTGTTTCTTTAATTTCTCTTTCAGATATTTCATTATTAGTGTATAGGAATGCAAGAGGTTGCCGTGCATTAATTTTTCATCCTGCTACTTTACCAAATTCATTGATTAGCTCTAGTAGTTTTCTGGTAGGGTCTTTAGGTTTCTCTCTGTATAGTATCATGTCATCTGCAAACAGTGACAGCTTTACTTCTTCTTTTCCTATTTGGATTCCTTTTATTTCTATTTCATCTCTGATTGCTGTGGCTAAAACTTCCAAAACACAGTTGAATTTTTGTTGTGAGAGTGGGCAGCCTTATCTTGTCCCTGATCTTAGAGGAAATGGTTTTAGTTTTTCACCACTTAGAATGATATTGGCTGTGGGTTTGTCATATATGGCCTTTATTAAGTTGACCTAAGTTCCCTCTGTGCTTATTTTCTGGAGGGTTTTTTATCATAAATGGTGTTGAATTTTGCCAAAAGCTTTTTTACATCTATTGATATCATCATATGGTTTTTATCTTTCATTTTTTTTATATGGTGAATCACATTGATTGATTTGCATATATTGAAGAATCCTTGCATTCCTGGGATAAACCCCACTTGATTATGGTGTATGATCCTTTTAATATGCTGTTGGATTCTGTTTGCTAGTGTTTGTTGAGGAGTTTTGCATCTACGTTATTCAGTGATATTGGACTGTAGTTTCTTTCTTTGTGACATCTTTGTGTGGTTTTCTTTCTTTGTGACATCTTTGTGACAGTGGCTTCATAGAATGCATTTGGGAGTGTTCCTCCATCTGCTATATTTTGGAAGAGTTTGACAAGGATGGGTGTTAGCTCTTCTCTAAATCTTTGATTGGGAGAGAGACCTTCAAAATGGTCAATGAGTAAGACGTGGAGATCACCTTCCTCCCCACAAATACATCAGAAATACGTCTACATGTTGAACAACTCTTACAGAACACCTACTGAACGCTCGCAGAATACCTCAGACTTCACAAAAGACAAGAAACTCCCCACGTACCTGGGTAGGGCAAAAACAAAAAGAAAAAACGGCGCAAAAGAATAGGGACGGGACCTGTTTCTCTGGGAGGCAGCTGTGAAGGAGGAAACGTTTCCACACCCAGGAAGCCCCTTCACTGGCAGAGATGGGAGGTGGTTGGAGGAGAAGCTTCAGAGACACGGAGGAGAGCGCAGCAACAGTGGTGCAGAAACTAACACCCCATTGTAAAGCAATTATACTCCAATAAAGATGTTAAAAAAAATACAACCTGATTTAAAACTAGGCAGAAAACCTGAATAGACATTTTCCCAAAGAAGACATACAGATAGCTAAAAGGTACACGAAAAGATGCTCAACATCATTAATCATCAGAGAAATGCAAGTCAAAACCACAATAAACTGTCACCTCTCACTGGTCAGAATAGCTATCATGAAAAAGAACACAAGTAACCAGTGTTGGTGAGGATGTGTAGAAAAGGGAACAATTGTATACTGTTGATGGGAATGTAAATTGGTGAAGCCGCTGTGGAAAATAGTATGGAGGTTCCTCAAAAAACTGAAAATAGAACTACCATATGATCCAGCAATTTCCACTCTTGGGTATAAATCCAAAGAAAACAAAAACATTTTTTCCTAAAGATATATGCAACCCAATATTCATAGCAGCACTATTTACAGTAGCCAAGATATGGAAACAATGTAAGTGTCCATCAACAGATGAATGGGTAAAGAAGATGTGGTATATATATGTACAGGAATACTACTCATCTAGAAAAAGATTGAAATTTTGCCATTTGTAACAACATAGATGGACTTGGAGGGTATTATGCTCAGTAAAATAAGTCACACAGAGAAAGACAAATACTGTATAATATCACTTATATGTGGAATCTAAAAAAATAAAACAAACTAGTGAATATAAGAAAACAGAAACAGACTCACAGATATAGAGAACAAACTAGTGGTTACCAGTCGGGAGAGGAAAGCAGGGGAGGGACAAGATAGGACTAGGGGATTAGGAGGTACAAACTACCATGTATAAAATCAGTAAGCTACAAGGCTATATTGTACAGCACAGGGAATATAGCCAATATTTTATAATAAGTATAATTGGAGTATAACCTTTAAAATTGACACTATGTTGTATCCCTGAAACGTTATTCTATTTCAGAATAAATTTCTTTATATTAAAAAAGTTGTTGATACATAAAGAAGTGTGCCATAAAAAAGATATGTTAAAATGTGGAGGAAATGATTAAGACTGTCCACTGGATGTGGGAAGGGGACTGTTCTGTAAAGTCTTTTCATGATGCTATGTAATGACCAAGATAAATCTTGAAGAATCAGTAGATATTTTCCAGGCAGACAAAATAGTTGTGAGTTAAAAATGTTTCCGGAAGAGAAAGCAGTATTTATAAAAGCATAGTGGTGTGAATCATTCTTCATTAAAACAAAATTCATGCAACCAACGTTTACTGAGTTCCCACTAACTGCCAGGCTCTGGACAAATCAGGGAACAGCAGGAGTTCAGATTGGCTGGCATGCAGACAGCTGAAATGGGGTAGAAGTTCAGAGCATAGGTCTGGTGTCAGAGTTGATTTCAAATCTTGGCTCCAAGTTGTACAAACTTGGGTAAGTTATTCAATCTCTTTGTGCCTTGGTTTCCTCATCCATCAATACATGCAGTGAGTATACATGAGAAAATGTATGTAAAGCATTTTGCCCAGTGTCTGTACGTGATCACGTCACTCACCAATACTTCTTTCATGTTGTTAATTTGATATAAATGAGTACATGTTACTTGTATGGATGTAGAAGATATTCAACTCTTTGTAACCACACACACACACACACACAAAGACAAGGGATGATCTAGTGGTGATGCAATGATCTTAAAATACTTTTGCATAACAGGTGGTGACTTGTTATTGTTTTTTCAAAGACAAAGGTGAAGAAAATGGCCTTGAACTGAAACATATGGAAAGATGGCTTTAGACTAGTATATCTGATATGGTAGCCACTAGCCACATGTAGCTCTTGAGCACTTAAATGTGACTGAAGAGCTGAATTTTTAATTTAATTTAATTTAACTTAACTAACTTAACTGAAATAACTACATATCCCTAGTGGTTACTGTACTGGACCACAGAGCTTTAGATATTTTATTTATATATATATATATATATATAAAATATATGTATGTATATAAACTCATTCTGGAGGTTTAAATAAATTTTGTGGCTGACTCTGCTAGTTCCTTACCCAAAAGATTCTTTTCCATTGTGGGTTATTACAAGATATTGAATATAGTTCCCTGTGCTTAACAGTAGGTCCTTGTTGGTTACCTATTTTGTATGTAGTAGTGTGTATATGTTAACTCCAACCTCTTAATTTATCCCTCCCCCACTATCCCCTTTGGTAGCCATAGTTTGTTTTCTATGTCTGTGAGTCTATTTCTGTTTTGTAAATAAGTTCATTTTTACCACTTTGCATTCTTGATATGGAACGGGGTTTCGGTCAGGAAATGCAGGTAATCCCATACCTCCTTCACCTCCAGCTGTGATGGACAATTGTGCTGAAAAGTTGCAGAGCTCCCTTGTAATGCACTTTCAAGCGTTTGGTGAATATTTGGGGATCCAAGTCTATTTCTTCCTACCGTGTCCATCAGCAGCTAACCGCAATACCCACACTTCTGCCACAGGAAAAAAGATATTTCACTCTCCCAGGCTTTCACTGAATAAAGAGATTTTTGGACTGAGCTCCTTGAAATATCAATGCTCCATATTACTCCCCAGATACAGATATAAATCTTTATAACGGTACACTTTACAAGCACCACTCCGGAGTCTTTTCTGATTATTAATCACAGTGTTTCCTTATTAATACTGTAAAAAATGTAAAAGGCATAAACATTTTGCAATCTATCTGTTCTTTCTGTGTGGGCATACATCAGGGGCTGCTTTAAGCGTCCCTAATGGTTCACCCATCACATTTTTTATGAGTTTATATGGGAAGAAAATTGTACCAGAAAACTGAATTCAATGACTGTCATTCTATGAATAAATTCTGTTATCTTTGATACTTGGGGTATAATAAAAACATACAAAAGTTAAATTTCAGCATCCTTGCAGAGTTATGTCAACTGTCTTTAATGTCAATAAGACAGTGCTGTTCAACCAATGTTTTATCCTTCCAAAAAATACTGCTTGATTTTCAGGTTATGTTTCCATTAAAACAACTTGTTTTTAACAGTGAGATGCTGTGTATGTTTGCTAATCTATGTATACTACAAAGTTTGATCAAAATGAAGGGTTATAATTTCAAGACATGGAGCTCAGTAAAAATCCGTCTATACTTTGGATGAAAGATTAAAATAAAAGTCAGATATCCATAAAATGTGCTTTTATAAGTTAGATCAGAAAATATCTCAGTAGAGTAACTTTGATCAAGCAGATTGTTTATATTTTTGTATTTACACACATCACCCTGTTATTAGAGGGCATATTTTACATTGCATCCTATAGGTATATTCTACAAATAAGATATTGATCTTTATGATCACCTATGAGATTTAAAAAAGAAAAATGCAATGATCTAAGTAAAACAAAGTGCAGATTTCCTGAACTATCCAACTTCAATATTTGCAAATTGATTCACTGTGCTTCTTTTATAGGATAAAAACTCTAAGCAACTTCTTTAAGATATGGGAAGCCTGAAGCACAGTTTCCCCACAGTATTGACCCACAGACTCTCAGCTGCTCATCCAAAGGTCTATAATTTTCCTTAGGGGAGGGGGTGGAATGTTGAATTTTTACCTCCGAAAGATCTAACCTATCTAAGTGGCCATTTCCTTAATGGCTTATTTGCTAAGATACAAGAAAACTGAAGTTAAAATCGCAAAGATGCTCAGGAATGTCAAAGCTCTGAACGACCTCTGCCGCCTTCACTCCCCCCCACCCCACATACCCTAATGAATCCATACATATAAGTTACAAACTAATGAAACATTGCAGGTATTCGCTAGTGATGTGGACACATCCCTCGGATTTCTGAGACCCTCTGCACTTAGTTATTAACATCTGGGACCTCAGGCTTCCTATATTCTCTTAAGCTTTGCCTCAAGGAGGTTTCTGCCTCATTTCCTGGTCTCAGGCTAACCCTCAGACCCTCTGCATGTAGGAAAAGCAGGAAACGATTTGGACCGAAGTACATTTTGAGGTATGTAAACCAGATTTATTCCCAAGTCTAGTAGAGTTTAAAAACAATCCTTTTTTTTTTTTTTTTGGTGAAATAAGTAGGTAATTGTAAGTAGGTAATTGAAATAAAAGTGCCTCCCTGGCCTAAATATGTGTCAGATGACATGAATTCTCTATTTGTCTGTGGAGACAGCTTCTGATCTTGACCACAAGCAAGATTTCCCAGAAAAATTAACGTCATGGAAGGGAAGGCAGGCTCAGGAACAGGTCCATTAGGTGGGCTGTTGGAGTTTCATTAGACACACCTTAACCTCTTTTAGGGCATTCACCCAGTTTATTTTCATGACTGGGCTAAATCATCTTTTCTGGACCTACTCAGCCAGATGACTCCATGTGAGCAAATGAGTGTTTTGTTTTCTTTTAAAAGTGTACAAGGAGATGCTTACTTGTGAAGAAGATTCCAGAGTTGACATCCTTGGAAGTTAATCCTGATTAATAGGTGCTTGGCTGTATAATTTTGGCTTTTGCTTGACATTGAGGCTCTGGTCTCCAGCCACCTGACAATTATCACCAAGTCTCAGGGCACACCTTGTAGACACCCCCGTGTGGGGGAGATGGCTTAATTGGATGGCATAAACAACACCTTATAACCAGGAAACACTCATTAAGCATCTCATCTCCCAGAATTTCACAATCCTCTCTCATTTTCCCATGTTCACTGGCACCACAAAGAGGTGTTTTGTCTTTGCTTTGTTTTGTTTTGCCTTTGTATGATATTTGCTGAAGTTTTTCCTTGCTCTGGGGTGGTTGTCAGCATTAAGGAGAAAGTGGAATCGACATTGCTTGAATGTTTTCACCCTGGAGAGGTTAAGCCAATGTGTCATGGTG